GCCCGTTGGATGGAGAAACGTGAGAATCCCAGAACCAGGCATTAGCATTTTTCTGAATAAGAAAGCAGAAGGAAACTATTTTTGGTCTGAGTTGAATTTCTCTGCTGGTGATTTCACACATAGTATTTACTTCTTAATATATCCAGGTTTAGAAGCCATCCAGACGATCCTTGCTTTTTATGAGGAGAGACACTCACAGAAGCCCTTGGCAAGGAAAAAGCAGAACCATCAGGGCAGGATGGGGAGCTCCATGGACGCCCGCTTGGGCTGCAGGAGCCCGGAGGGTTTCCTCCCTGCAGGAGGGCCCTGAGCCGTGCGCACCCTGCCGTGCCTCCCGTGCGGAGCCTCCCCGGGACAGACGGGCGCACAGCRGGAGCTCGCACTGCACCCAAGGGCACCCAGCACCACCGGAGGGGCCCTGCTTCCCTCAGCCTCTCCTCGCTGAGCGCCCGCTCAGTCGCTCAGGGAGACTGAGACTGCGCCGTGAAGACAGCTCCCGAGAGCAGAGTAGACAGAGTTATTTCCAGAATGATTAATTCTGTTACCACATGCTGAAGCTTAAAGCTTAGCGTAAGCTTTAAAGGAATGGATTTTGATGTAAAAAGTGAATAAATGAGACAACTGTCAGAACAATGAGTGGTGGAGCAAGCCGAGATGTTTAGCAGAGGACGTGGGAAGCCCTCTGCGCTGGCCAGGCTTCTCCGAAGCTCCTGGTAAAATCCCCACTGCCCTGGAGGCTGCAGAAACAGCCGAGGGTGCCGTGGGCTGCTCCACAGCCGGGAGGGCCCGGAGCGCCCGGCTCCTTCCCGCGGCWCCCGGCTCCTTCCCGCAGCTCCCGTCTCCTTCCCATGGCTCCTGGCATCCCCTTCTTGGCCCCACGGGCCGACACTGGCAGGTCCAGAGCCTGACCCCTTATGGAATGAAAAATACATCCTAAAAGGACCCTCACGACTGCCCCAGCTTCTCATAGTCGCATTATCTTGCCTGCTCTGGTATTCTCCAGCGCAGTAATTGAAAACCTGCTGCTAATTTTTAAAAGTCAGCTTCAACCTGCTACAGGCAGCTCCCAGAAGGACAGTATTTTGGGTAATTGGTTACATAGCAATCATTATGTTTAGCATTTTTCTAGGTCTTTATTCCTGACACTTCTCCCAGAAGACTTTGGAGCAGGTAAACAACACCTAATAACAGCGTCACGATATCCTCTATCCTGATTCCTTGCTTTTAGCCTCATTAGTCATCATGTCTTCTTGTTCTGCAACAATACCAAATTGTATCGACAGATTTTATTTCCTTTTTTAAAACGTATTTCAATATTTTTCTTATATGTCTCTAATGGATCCACCAAAATTTGGGGGATTTTGTTACATTATATCCGCATCTGGAGTCAAATGCTCGTCATGTTTCTCCGTAGTAGCTAATTCAGCTTGGACTGCGCCACACGATCCCCTTTTCCAGTCTTTCCTTACGGCCTCTGAGGAATGCTGCATTGGCTGCGAGGGAATTACGAGGTCTTGGCAAGACACGTTAATATCTTCGCAAAGACTTGTTAGGGACCAAGACATCAGCCTCCAACTATTTCCTTCGATACAGCAGAGCGTTTACAGTGTTTCATTTGTCTTGAGTCAACAGATTGACTTGGATTCATAGAAATGAAGTTCCACCCAAAATAAGACAGCTCTGAAAATACAGCTGGCTTTGTATTGCTGTTGCCTGACTGGTGAGCAGCTCTGAAAGAGAAGTACAAAGTGTCAGATCCCATCAGAGAAATCAGTGGCTCCCGACCCTTCAGTCCGGGGCTGGGAAAAGGAACACACAAGTGGAAGACAGGGCGTGAATTACAGCATCACCTGCTGCACTGGGATTTGAAAGACAAACTACCTACTTCAGTACTTCTGTAAACTCTTGTCTGTCACCATGCAAATTCAGTGGAAATGTTTTTTACCAAAGACCTGCCCATGTTCATACACAAATTTTCTAGCAGAGACGGAAATACACTCCCAGTTTATTATATCTAGCCTCTTCTCTAACACTCAAGGTTATCATTAGCATTCGGAATGACACTGATAATCCCTGAAAGCACCGGAGAGTGAGTATCATATCTGCAGCTGGATCTCTTTGCTAGGAAACTAGTTACACAACATGGAAAGTATTTTTGCTATCTTGTTTTGCATCCCTGATAACAACTTCTCAAATGAAGGACCATATTGTTCAGGCATCACCCGGGGAGGAATCGCTCTCGCAGCCCCAGTGCCATCCACAGTCCCCGTCCCCACAGCGGGTGGCAAGTTCCGAGTTACAGGTTTGGTAGRTAAGGAGCAGTGTCCTGCTGACACTGATCTGAATCTTGGAGTCCAACATGTGCTGTTTCCCTGAAGGTTTTGTGAGCAGCAGCAGCAGCAGTGCTGGCCCAGGACCCCACGTCTGGAAACTATGCACCAGATAACGTATCTGTCAGGCACTCAGAAATCCCCAGCTGAGCCCCTTTTCTTGGCTCCGTGTTGGCCTCTTTACACCTCTGGTGTTGTAAAGGGAAGTGAAACAGCCAGTTCTCATGTATATGTTCAGATTTGAAGAGTCCCCAGATTGTGGAAAATGAAGCAGGGCTGCAAAGTCTGCAGCTGATTTCATATCTGAAAGTCAGACAGGATGCTGGGTCTGTCATTGTAGTTTGGTTTGACAATGGGCCAGCTTCAACACGGCCGTTCCCATCTGCTCCAATGTCAGCTGAGCACTTGCGTGCCATTGCCCTATCCTTCACCATCCCAGTCCAAAGCCAGACTAAAGCCTCCCCAGCTTTCTGAGGAGTGGTATCACAAATCGCAGTCTTGTGCGATGCCATTTGGTGTCACCCTGTGTCATACATCTGACAYGGGGATCTAAACCGAGAGCTCAGTCCAGCAGGTGCACAAGGACGTGTCCCATTCCAGGGGACCTCACTTGGGCCGYGTATATCCTTAGTTAGGCACGTGTTTAAATAGCTCATCAAAGCCATGCTCAAGTGCAGAGGAAAAGTATCCCAGTAGGAAGAGAGGGAACCAGCTCAATGGAGCACACACAAGTAGATGTGTCCAAGCCATCTAGAGGGTAATCCCGCATGTACACACTGCAAATCCACAACATACCTCGCTGTCCRGCTTGGCAGAGCACTGTTACTGCCTCTTGGGAAACAAACATTCCTGATCAAAGCCTGCCCTGCAAAATAAATAATCAAACAAAACTAATGTGCGCCCATGTGTACATATACTGTTCACATGGATTTATATGATGCGTTGCATATGTYAATGTCAGTTCCTGTCAGGGTGTGGGAACTGATGGGAAAATTGTAGCTACATTGAAATAATGGGAATTTTCCTGTAAACTTGAGCATGGCAGAGACGGTTCTCCGAGACTGCAAAAGACTTCTTGTGAAATAAGATAATTACACACCAGCCAGACCTTATTACAAGTAAGTAATAAAGTACAGGCATGTATTTTGTTTTTACTAATGACATTAATGTCTTTTCTGATCATTTGCAGAACTACAGGGAGCAGATACTTAATTTGTACTAATGCATCTCCTGCCCTGCAGAAATCTAGGCAACTCTGTTGACATTTGATTTGTTTTCCCCATCTCTTCTCAGACAATCCAGGGCCTGTTTTCCGCACCATCTGAGCTTCCTCTTCTGCTGTGTAACACTTCAACATTTTTAGCACTTTTCCTTGTTAATCTGTGTGTTGTTTTGTAGTATATAAGTGACACCACGTAAAATTACGTATTGTTGCTGTTAAAGGGGATTTGTGTTTTCCCTCCTCCACAATTTCCTTATCTCCCTTAGTGAAACAGCTGTAACACTCAACTCTGCTGTGCAGATTCATTTCTCTTTCCCCACTGGAGTCCAAGAGAGTTCAAATACACCCGGTCAAAACCATTCACTTTGTAATTTATGGGACATCAACAGCAGGGAAAGAGACAAAATTCGAGCTGGTTAAAACATGTTCTGAAAAATGGATTTGCTGGGTAAAGAGGAGCGGAGAGTTTTCTCTCGCACATTGCACACATACCTCTGTGATTGATTTGTTTTGTTTTGAGCTTCCAGAGTCTGTTTGCACAGACCTGGCCATGGGGCAACGCTGTCCTTCCCTGCTTCCTGGCTGGGAACAAAGCGGAACAGGCAGCAGACGCAACCTGATGTCCTTTACTATGGAAAACACTGACTACAGTTTGTCCCGCCAGGGAAATCAGTGCCTTGAGTCTATGAGTAATCTGCTGGCTTCACAGGAACGTCTCCGGATGGATTTGGGATGCTGCCCTCGATGGATTTGGGATGCGGCTCTCCACGAGGGCCGCGACAAGAGCGGCGCTGTCCCCAGTGCAGCCGAGCGCCCCGTCCCGCACGCGGGGATCCTGGTCCYGCATGAGGGGACCCCGCGCCAGCACCCCTGGCGCTGGTCCAGCTGAATGGAGACTGCGCTAAGCCGGGAATATGCTCACAAAGCACAGATGAGGTCATTCCCTAGAGTCCGCTTAGGTATTTGGAGCCCTTGACATCGAGAGGAGCGAAAATCTTACGTGTGAGGAATGATATTTAAAGGGAAAGTGCAACTCTTCTTGTGGCACATTAGCTGTGTGTTACCCTTCAGGAGGGGAATGGTGAACCTCTATAAAAGCTGTTTATCCCTWTTGTTAGAGATCCTGTTAGCATATGTCCTTCAATCTTACTCGCTTCAAAAGAGGGACATCAGGAATATCAGCTAATGATATGGAGTCAGAAATCAAGCATTATTTCTGAAATACTCTTTTTTGAACAAATCTGAGGCTGATTTAACCTCTGTGCTGTCCTACYGCGTGACTCAACACCCGTGAAACGTAACGCTTTGCCAAAGGGTCCTGAACTTGACTCTGTGCTCCCAGCTTCAGGCCGCCCGTCCAGGAGGAGATTACACCACGTTTCTCCCTGCGGATCCAGCTAGAACAACACGTACAACGCAGGGAGGCCCAGGGCGGCTCTGCTTCATCCGGGGTCGACTTGTAAGAGATAAAGAAGAGCTCTCGTTCGTTGTTGAACTAACGTAGATCTTTTGCCTGAGTTCAGGCGATGCTGAGCTGGTAAGTGTGAGTTTCTTGCTGCAAAAGGATGTACTGTGCTCCAAATGTATCGCCAGAATTATAGATTGGAGATGTCTTTTTAAAAAAAATGTGCTCTGAATGTGATTTTTTTTTCCAAAAATAACTTGTATTTTGCTCATATTAGAAGAGCAGGATGTTCTTTCCTGTCCTGAAGGGATAAGGAGGAAATGAGAACTATGTTTTTTTAATATGATACAAGCTTCTATTCTTCTGGACAAGTGCTGTGTATCTCGATTCCCTCCCCCGCTGGCCCCAGCGTCAGCGTTTTGTTCCCCGGGGACCTCATTTTGCTTCCATCCACCCTGTTGCTGTCCCAGTGAGGCTCTCCGTGGTCTCTGAGGGATCCTCCACATGTACACCTCTCAGGTCCCAACGCCGCGTGCACCGGCAGCGAAGCAGCCCACCGATGGCAGCACGTGCTGACTATTTCAAGCCCTGTTCCGAATGAATCACGGCCAGTTTGCAGACCCCGAGGGGGCAGGAGGCATCCCTTCCTGCCCTCCGCGCGCGAAGGAAAGAGCCTCTGCTTTGGAGGAAGTGTGGACGTAATGAACTGCACAGWGGTGCTCCATTGTGCTCAAGTCTGACAGGAAACACTTGGGCTTCGATTCAGGAAAGCCTAAATAGTATTCCTCCATAATATTCCTATAGCCCCCAATTATTCTGCTGTATTTGACTGTCTTTAATGTATATCTTCTCACAGACCTCTCCAGAAGGCCTGAAGGAAATGTGGGCACTGGGGAGCGGGGACGGCCTGGGAAGAAACTGCTCCAATTTCCAGCCAAGGGCCCTCCGAAGCAACAGCACCAGGCTGGCAGCTCTCCACTTCCCAACCAAAGAGACTCCAGAGCAGCTGCCTTTACTGACCTCCGCCACGGCACTTTTCTGCAGGAAGACAGACACTTCTTCAAATGCAGACACCTCAACCTGTTTGGGATTTGCTAAAAGCAAAACCAAAGCCCTGAGCTCTGCCAGTGAGCTGGAAGCAGGGGAGCTGAAGGTAACCGTCTTGCTGTGAACTTTTCTCAAGAAAGCAGCTGAATTCGGTGTAATTTCCGAGCAGCTTCCTGCATGGGAGCCGTCTCCAGCCCTGCATGGGAGCCGTCTCCAGCCCCTGCTCTGTGGCAATGACCCCATTGCTGTGACGGGGTCTCCTGTCACGCGCGAGGGGCCTCAGCAGGGCCTGACTAGGGCTTCACCCCAGGGCTGGCGGGAAAAGCATCCAGGGCCTGGCATTTAGGCAATGTCCCCTTCACTYGTGGGACAGAAGCTGAAGTGCCCCTGGGGCTCAGCGCTGCCCCTGGAAACACCTTTCCAGAGCTCTCCAAAGCAGCCTGGCTCGCAGGTGCCATCCAAGAGGCTCGGAGGGCTTTTTGCTACACAGCTCTCAGGGCCGCAATGACTGCAGAAGGAAGCAACCCCCCCCATACCCAGCGGAGATRGATTGAGGACATAATGCCCTTGATTGAAATAAAGAGGCACCCAGGAAGCCTTATAGTATGCCCTTTTTTTTTTTTTTTAAACTAGAGCTAAAGTAATTTGGCATGCATGTCCCCAGAGCAGCTTCCTAAACCACAGCTGCATGAGGAATTATCTAGCTCTTAGCTGAAGTAACTCTTAAAAAAAAAAAAAAAAAAAAAAGACATGTAGGTCATTAAAGTGCTAATAAAAACCGTTGATGAATCTCTGAGCAGTGCTCTGATTATCTCTCTGTGGGGAATGAAGAACTCATTAACATGAGCTCCGTGCCACTCCCTCCTCCTTTCTCCGGGTCTGGCATAAAGCAAGGAAACAAATGTTTGTGGCTTGGCCAAGTTTCTAATGAGCAGCTCGCCGAGGTCGCTGACGAGACGCACGGCTTTTCAGAGGGTGGAAAGGCTGCAGCTCCGGGGAAAGCAGCAAAGCTTCTGCGGACCTGGCTCCTCAAGAAAAGCAAATGCTTCATTCACCTRTTACTGCAGGATCTGCTGCAGGAGTGTGTTGAGAGATTGATGCTGAGAACAAGCAGAAAYGGAGTAAAGACCAAAGAGAGCATGAGAGCGCCTGCTTTGACCCTCCAAAAACACAGTCCCGTGGTATCTTCCTATGAGTCTGGCTTTGCTCCTCAAGGCTTTTTGTAGRCACAAGCAGGAGCTTCCCATCTGCTGCACCATCGGCCACGCGGACACTTGCCTGGCGAGGAGAGGCCCAGGCCAGTGAGCCCCAGCACCTCCTGACACCATCTGGGAGGGAGGCAAAACCTCCCCAAGGGATGGCGAAAGTCTGTCCCATGCAGGAAAGTTTCTTCTTGATCCTGCTTGTAATCCATTTATGGCGCGAATCATGAGGATTTGTCATCTCCATAATCTTTTTAGGACTAAAGCAATTGTAAGGCTTATCCTTATGCCTAGAGGAAGAAAACTCACCCTACCATAAGCACCAAAGGCATCTTTACATGACTCAAGCCCTTCCACTGGGGTACGTGTCGGGTGCTTCTGAAACTCAGATTTGAAGGTGTGCAGCCAATGTCACACAGCACCTCAGCACTATCATCATCCTCTGGAGACACCAAGTCTCTCCCCTGCTGCTGCAGACAATGCATACAGTGCCTTTAATAAGCTTCACTTCAAAAGCAGGGAGATTTTCCATTCCCAACGTTCCTACCAAAAGGTTGTTCCAGAGCCTAATTGCTCTAGTGGTCAACAGCCCTCCCTGCATTTGCAGCCAAAGCTGGTAGGTGGCCGAACGTCCATGCCCAGCTGCTCTTGTGCCAGCTCAGTCCTCTAGCTAAGCAGGTACCTGGGGCAGAGTGTGAAATTTGGAATAAGCACCGAAACACCAATTTCACTGCAATGTCTCCTTGCTTCCATGACCGCAGTTAATTTGGGCTTGTCTCGGGTTTTTGGGCTGAGCCTCCCCTCGCTGCAGCCCCGCTCGCCCTCGACGAGGCCTGAGCGCGCGGGCAGGAGGCAGCGCCAGGAGGTCTGGACCTCACCTGAGGCTGGGTGCGCGAGTGATCTTACACCTGTAAGCAACAAAGGAGCTTTGATGCCTTTAAAGCCAATTTTAGATGATTTTGAGTTTTTAAAAWTGCCTATAAACCAGATAAAACCTTATTTCTTATCACGCTGGTTGAGCCCTGCTGCCAGCTGGCACCGCGGCGTGCGGCGCACAGGGCCCGCGCGAGCCCTGCTCTGCCCGCCCGCCCCATCGCCGCCCGTGCTCCCCTTGCACCGCTCTTTAGCATTTTTCCTCCTTTTCCCACCTCTGCGGCGCCGGGCAGCGMATACACACATGTGTATGTGTATATACATCTGGCATGTGTATGTATATGTGCATGTATATGTATTATGTATACATGTCCGCGCGCGGGCTGAGCCGCTGCCGCGGCCCGCGGCCGTGCCCGGGTGTAGAGGGGGCTGCCGGTGCGGCGGGGCGGGCGCTGCGGGGAGGG